AGTAGTTTATCGACGACGTAAAAACGTGTTTTGGAGCTGTCCTGACAATACTGGCCAATAGTGTTTTGATACTTCATAAAGTAGTATTGCCATTATTCACTCCAAATCTTCACAAACCCCATACGAACGTGAAGGCAGAAAATAACATAACAACTGGTGTCAGAAAAGAAAAACACAACAATATAATACCAATGTGGTAGCATTACCTATAGGCAGCAGTTCATTATTTTAACATTCTGGCTGTGCAGCCGTTTTTGTGATTTCCAATAAGTAATGTGATTACCTGCTAGTTTCGCTTAAAGGATTCCTACAAAAGCATGTCATCCCTCATACAGACAACCCAAGTGTGCTTTAGTATAAGCAATGAATAAGATCCAATTTAAATAACAGATATTTTTTTGAAAGAGCAATTAAAATTTTTCATTCAAAATCCATACACTGAATCACATATTACAGGTAATACGGCAATTAAAATATTCAGTCATCAAAGGTGCATAATATAAACTGAGTATATATAAGAAAATATTACCTTCAGAAGATTTCCATGCATTCCACAGTTCATCTACAGATATATGTTTGTCATTTCGATGAAATATTTTCTGTCGCTCATATCCACTCTCATAATTCAATTCATCTCGCAGAAACTAAAGCAAATTCAATATACATGAAATGGTACACGATATCTGTTATATCGAAGTAATAAAGTCATAAATAGTACATTCGTAAAACTAGTTCTACAAAATTTGATGAAAACGAACTTAACAGTTAATTACTGAACTAACTTAAAGTACTAACATATGAAAGCACAAATTAAACCAGAATGTAGATCAGCATTTAAGCAAAGAATTCCCTATTATGCAGAACATAATAATTACATCCATATACTATTAAAAGATAATTTTTCATAGGAATTATATCAAAGATTTCTATAATTTTTAACATCATCCAAAAAAAGTCTGGAGATAATATGGAAATTAAAATGATACATTGTTTGCATAACAGAAATTGAAATCAGGTTTCAGTACACTTAAAAGATGAAATTACCTCATCGCTTTCAACTATGTCTATGTTGCCATCTGCATCATCATCTAAACGTTGATGAAGAGTTAAAATAGCATCAAATCCTAACTTATCATTGCAAGCTTCTAGAACCTCACAATTCCATGCTGAAAAATAATAAATTATACATTCATTTCTTAAATTTTTCAATCCAATTTTTTTTCTCATTAATTACAGAATCAAATAACTGGTCAAACAACTGAGTGCATAAAAAAAAAAAAAACAAATAGCATACGGCCGGCACTACACTTTTTTTTCCGTCCAGTGCAGACTCTATGACTCCGAAATTCTGTCAACGCGTTCTTCCTAAACTATAAATTCTTTAGCCCCCCCCCTCCATTAAAGTCTGCAGCTGGGTGCCGTAGCGTCGACGCTAGTGCCGCCCGTGTGCATGCAAAATGAATGCTATAAATTATTTGCCCTTCTGCAAATACCATGCAATGAACCGCAAAGCGAATTATCAATACCGTGCCGTCTCATCTGTTCGCATACTAACATGCCCAAAGTATACACGAAATAATGGATTACAGATTGTATAGAATAACCAGAAAGTCTTATGACTTCCCCGTTACATCTAGATATATATTTCTTGTTTATGTTTCATTTCATGTGATTGACAATGGAAGAAACGACGGCCAGCTGATTAACAAAGAATAGATTACACACATTTATTTTATTTCATTTCACAAGGTAAGTACAAGTTCCTATGATCAAATGGCCTATCAGGAGTCCTATTTCTGGACATGTGATACCTTGCTAGGCATTATTAAACAGTACGTATCGCAACAAAGATGCCATAACTGAAAAACTGAAGGATGTTATAAGGCATTCATAAGAATCATAAACTCCGGATTCGGGATTTGAACTCCAGAATAATAAAAAAACCTTAGGAATTTACCTTAAAACACCTCATGATATAATATTAAAAGGGGCTAAAACAAATCCCTTTTCAAAAAATGTATAATATAAACTTACTGTAAAACGCCTCAATACGTAAGTAATTAAACGATATTAAACTTGAAAGTAATTCGCTTGCTTTGTTTAAATTATTTGATTCACAAACAAATACCGATCAAATAATATATATATATATATATTGTGTATGTACCAAAAATATGTCACATGCCAAATTTGAATGACAGAGTATGATATTTTCTCTCATTTAAAAAGCATTTTGAAAACTTACAAATTTCGTATTCGCTTATACAAAGCTAAGTTTAAATCAAGAAATTTACGCCGAACAGATGAGAAAGATACAACGCGGCTACTGCTGAAACATAAAAAATAAATAAATAATATTTTTAAAAAAAATTGAAAGCGTTCAGATTTTATGTTACGCTCAAACAGGTCTTGTTTTCATTTACAGACACATACACGTTTCGAGAGCATTTAGGCTAACGCCACTTTGGGCTAAAAATATTGAAACACAGCATATCTTTAGAATTTCCGATAGACAATCTCGCGCGCTGGAGATAAAAACATTTTATTCCCTACAGTGCAGCTACTGCTCGCTTTGAAACTGTTGAGTTTTACAATAAAAGATTCGTTAACGTTTTACAAAATACGAAATAGACAATAAAACAAATTCGGACTTCCAGGTGACCATATTCGGGTGGAGGACTACGCATTCAAAATTTGATGGCTCTAGGTTCTGTTGTCTTTTCACAATGCGAGAAACATACATACTTTCAAGTAGATTCTTAATTATTTAATTTCTTATAAATAATAGAGGGCGATAATATTAGGTGGCAACAATTTGAAAAGTGATACACCTGTTTATAGTGAATCGACGCAAAATGCCGTTTTGAGACTAATAGCTAATACCTCTTCTAGGCTAACGCCCCGTTGGTCTAAAAAAAAACTGCAAATTTTGGTTGATTTGTTATAACGCAGTAACCCGTCAAACCCAACAAAGAACTTAGTTTAAGTTGATTTTCTTACTACATCCTGACCACGAGCACAAACATGCATACTAATTTCGAACCGATTTATTTTATGAAATAAGATGAATGGATATGAATCCAGAAGATCCTTTTTTGTGTGCGTGTGTGTCCTTATTTTTTCCTGTATATTTCGCACAGCACTCAAACAGCATAGAGTTGAAAGGGCGGAAATTTAATTTTTAGTAAATGCCATGCTAACAAAAATTTGTGGCTTTTGAAGTCTTAAAACTGATAAGCGTACTATTCGAAATCTCTTAATTTTAAATTTTACATTGGCGTGTTTCCCTTCGAATTGCTTCGAATTCCCTTCGAATTCTGGTTGGTAAGCTGTTCTAAGAGTAACACGCAATCGTAAATTTCCGAAAAATCTGTTTCGGAAATTAAAAGTAACTAACAGGCGCGAAAAGCGTGGTTTGTAAATTTACCTAAGATGTACAACTAGGTTATCATCGATCCATATACAAATTTCTAATTTACTTTCCTTCATTCATTCCTGCACTGTTACAGTATACGAAATTCCTGTTAGCTTGAATTATTTGTTTCGATCCTAGAAACAGCAGCTTCACTTGTTGATAGACCTAGAAACGATCCTAGAAACAGCAGCTTCACTTCACATGACCTTTACCATGGCTTCCAAGTTTACTACTAATAAATGCTTGATGCTGATTTTACAATGTCAAAATTTCTCCTAAAAGACAATTTGTATCAAAACTAAAACGTGCTCTGTAGTACATATATGGACGCGTTTAAAAGAAAGCCCTCAGTCTGACAGTAGAAAGTAAAAGAACTTTACCATTATTCAAATTATAAAAAAATATCGTCCTCTCTCGTGGTGTAACTAGTAGCACGTACGATTAATCATCGGTAGATCCCGGAGTTCGAATTTCGGTGACGGCTGATTTTTAGCCATTCCAGCTCCAAATAAATACCTATGATTTTTCAACAAAATTTTTATTTATAGTTCTGAAATATTACTGCTCCAATACACCTACACCAGTAGGTAATACTGAAGTTTTTACATGATAGATATAAAAATTCACGTTTAACACTTATAAGAACACATGTTCATTATAACGCAAAGTTATGCATGCGGTCGTTTTGAATGGTCAATGTTTTTTACCTATTTTACTATTTAAAAAACATTGTAAGGCAATAAAAAAATTAAAGAACATTTAAGTTAAAAACAAAGATTATTCAACATGATTGATAATAAATGTATCACAATTTTAAAATTTTTACAAAAGCAGAAAACTTGTGACCAAACATTGACATATTATGTACTGGTGTAAGTTTACAAACTCCCTCAGTTCTTTTCCTTAACTAATGTTGCCAAATGCAGAACGTAAAAATGCGAATCGGTCAAATTGACCGATGAGTGATAGGTGTTTAGAGACGTCACTGAATCAAAATGGTTCAAGAATTCAAAAACAAGCACACAGTCGAAACATATGAGCCAAAACCTGATTCATTTTTCACACAAAAACGAATACTACCTGTTATTGAAAACTGTACAGAGCATCTTTAAATAATAAAAATTTACTGATGACTTACTAGGAAGATATGCGATAGAAAAAAGATGAATCATCTGCAATGTCTACTTTCGCTTTAGATGCTGTCTAAAAGTGATACACTATATCTTGCCAAAAATATTAAGACAGATGACAAGGCAGACATTTAATCGATATTCTGCACAAAAATTGCAGTCTCTTAGTCGTCAAATATGACTTACCACTATTATTTGGAATATTACTGACGGAACATGAAGTTATTTCTTCTACACAACTGACAGGAAACTCACTAATTTCAAGCGAATTATTTCAAAAGAATAACTCACTATATTTATTACACTTACACGAGTGAGCATGGAACATTTTTAGTTAGCAGTCAATCTCAAAGCCCAAACTGTCTTCTGAAAATTACTCGAAGGAAGAGTCCAGATGAGTGATAAAACATTCCCAGTGGTGGCCACAGAATTCGACCATCAACAAGAAAAAAATTACCTGCAATTTTTTATTTCGCATCTAATTACGAGTGAGGTAGAGGAGAAGAAAAATGATGTATGTAAATATTGCATTTTAGAAAAGATAAACGTTTCAAACTTATTCATGCAAAATCATCCTTAACGGCGGTTTTAGCAAATACGTAATAAGTGACCTACAAATTGGCTCTGCAAAAAACTACATCATAACACATATTCACTTTCGGGCTACTAAGGATGTAATTTACAAATGATGCGAATTTTTGCTCAAACCCATACTTGCACAGAGTATGAGGATTGCCTTCGACTTGCAGTTTGCGTTTGACAATGAAACTAAAAAACCTGAGTCCAGATTGTATTGCTTACGGCAATACAGTATAGGCCCTCTTTTAAAACCCAATACTACATCCACTCATCTCAGAAATGTCCGATACAGATTTTACTCAATTATTAAAGACATTTTTAGCCATTTACTTGCAAATAGCTATTTTACTTTATGCTGCTAGAAGAGGAACACATTTCCAGCTCTGTCCATTATAGCATATCCCAATGGTGTTGGTATCAGAGGCTTGTGCAGAATGCGAAAAATAAACCTCACTTTTATGTTCAGTAAACCACTCTGCCTCCAGTTTTGCGGTATGAGATGCTGAAGTGTCATCCTGATATACGGTATGTCCTTCGGGATAAAAAAGTGTAACAATTGGTGGAGTTGGTCTATCAACAATCCTCAAGAGTGATGCTATAGCTCCTAAAGAGTATCCTTAAGAGTGATGCTACAGCTCCTGCTAAGGTTGAATTAATGGCTAACCGCACAAGTTAAACGCACACTGAGAGCTATCGCCTCTGCTACTATGTAACTATTAATACAAAATACAACTCAAAAGTAAAATTTAAACAGAACACTATTAGCCACTTTTGGTGGGTTTTACAGACTTTTGTAAAATCTAAACAGATAATCTAATTCATATCTAATCAAATAATATAAAGAAAAAAGTTTGTAAGTTGGTTCGCTAATAACTCAGTCACTACTATAGCTATCATCACCAAACTTTCTACAATTCTTTTCTGGATCCTGAAAAAGATCGACGTCCACTTTTTTCCAAAAAAAGAATAACTTAAGTCAGAGATATTAATTAAAAACTCTTAAAACGCTAAATTTCGCCCTCATTTTTCCGTGATGATATCA